GAGCCCGACTCCTCTCTTAGCATCTGTTTAACCATATCTCTTTCAGGGGAACTAAGATGGTCCAAGTCAACTGGGGGGTCCCATTCATTATCAGGAGTTTGTTCCTTCCTGACCTCCACATTAGTTACCGATACTGGGGGTGTGGAGCAGGGCCGTCCAAAGATTGTTGTCGGGTAAACAGCTTGTATTGGCTGCGCTGTCCCAATAATAGTCCTCCCAGAGAGTACGATGTCATGGTCAGTTGGGTTTTGTACATCCACATTTATGAATGATTTTGTGCCTTTCTTTAGTTTCATGAGGGTGTCAGTGAACTCTAAACCTTCTGGCCACTGTGCATTGACACTGGGCTCAAAGATCAGAGTTGTCTCCTCTTGCAAAGGGGGTGTTATAACACGGCACTCTACCTTTACTGATGTGTGTTTTGGGACATGCACTTGTCCTCTGGTAGTTTTAACACTATACTCCAGGGATCGATGTTCAGCAAAAACTCTAGCCACAAACATTTCAGCATCATCCATTTCAAAATCAGAAAAAGCTGACTGGACTGTTTTGATTAACTGCTGTTTACTGGTGTCTTTGTTTGGTTGTAGCTCAGTATTCACAATAAGTCCAATAACATTTGAGCCAATAATAGGCTGAGCAAGACTGTTACCTTTAATAACTAGTGTTGGAACAACAACTTCTGTTGTTGGAACTCCATCTGCAGCTAAGTTAAATGTGACCTCTATCCATCCTAAATAAGGTAAGTCTTGACCATTGGCTGCAATGAGATTTAAAGTGTTATTGTTTTCAATGATTTCAGAAATGTCTTTCAAAGTTACTTGTGGTAGATATTCTGTTTTCCATTGTTCACTTACTACAGTCACTTGTGAGCCAGAGTCCCACAAAGCTCTAACTTTCTGACCTTGGATGTAACAGTCAATCAGGTATTTTTTTCCAACTAATGAAGCAAATTGAACTTGATTTTTCTTTTGTGGTGTAGCTTGAACTGTGCTACAAGAAGTATGTGAACAATCGTTCTTATGAACAGCCCAGTGTTCATGTTGGCATCCCTCAGAACAGTATAACACTCTTTTACATGATGAACATTGTCTCAGTCTTACCTTTATCCCACCTACACCACAGTAGGCACAGAGTTGGGGCACTGCTGACAAAGTGGTCACTCCCTGCCCCGCTGGGGTAACCCTTGCTCGTTTAAAGAACTCCCTCTGAACTGTCCCGATCTCCTCATTCTGCAGCCAGCTGAGAAGTGTTCATTGCTGCCACACCTGAAACAGTGAGTGCAGTCCTCCAAATTTTCCTGCTGGCAGGCGTAGCATCTCCTCCTAGGACGTGGTGAAGCTGTGGGGAGTGAGTGTCGATTTCCATACATCTGGTGGGGTGGAGGATGATCATGTTGTCCTGGTAGGGATGGTTGATAGTTGTGATGCTTTAAAGGGGGTTGCAGGTAGCTATATTGAACAGGAGGTAGATGGTAACCATGATGTAATGCAGGCTTGTGTGTCAGTGATGGGTTGGGGTAGGCTGATGTTGACTGAGGTGGTGCACTTTCTGGTCCAGATACTGGGTTTGGGTCCTGCCTCTGTAGATAGTGGGGCTGCTGCATAGACTCTTTAATGGAAGATACTTCAGCTTTAAGATCTTTAAGGAGAGTCATGTTTGCTTTCATCTCCTGCAGTTCTGAAAGTATATCTGTTTGGCTCTTACTGTGACTCAGCTGGTTTATCTTCTCCTTCTTTTCAACAGTGGCATGGTCAGACTGAGCAGAGTGAACAGTAACAG